ACTAAGCTTTTATTTTTAATGTATTTTTATTCTTAAAATTATGTATATTTAAAAATTATTTAAACCTGGCAAAATTTTTTTAATAAAAATAAAGTATTTATTGGCAAAAACTACATAATAACATCTTATTATAACTAAACCTTTACATTAAGGTTACAAAATTTTCAGATATTACAGAAGATGCTAACAAAATCTAGAGTATCATTCGAAAAAAAGCTAAAGCTAAATATATCGATTTTCTAGATAAATTTATATTAGAATTAGTCAAAGAAAGATTAGATGCATATGATATTAAAACTTTACCTAATTGTTAGACTCTTGCTGATATTATAGTAATACTTTGTATTTATCTTGCTAAACATAAAACTTTACATATTACAGATGCTAAAGTGATAAAATATGTGAAAAACTGAGATTAGCTAGATATTCTCAGAAAATTTAGATCGATAGAAAAGAATTAAGAATGAGCCAAAGAACTACTTACTTGAATTCAGCGTACTATATTATCTGGACGAATGGGTAATCCAAGTAAGCCAGAAGTTAAATGGTTTAATAAATTCTTAAAAGATTATGATTTAATTCCTAAATATTTATATAAATTAAAAGCAGTTTATAGTATAGTAGTACATGAGGCTAAGAATATGGCCTACACTTATACAATTACTAGAGAATGTTTACGTCATTTATCTGATAATCATACTTCTTCTATACAAAATTATATGTAGTCAATTATAGAAAAAGAGGAGTTTCTTATGAGCAAGCAAGACGATTTAATATCTATAATCAAGATTAATTACACTTTTTCACTTTTACCATATCTACAGTAAAATCTTCACTATCATAAAAGGATTCAGAGATAGATTCAGATTCAAATTTAGATGAGAACTCAGATACGGTATCATTAAAAATTGTTTTTTTTCTTTTAGCCTCAGATAGTATACGATTTTTCTGAGAAATATCTAGGTTTGCTATAGAGTTTATAATATCTTGTAGAATCTCAAATTTTACTATTTTTAGTAATTGATAGAGAGAGTTCTGAATTTTTTTATTTGATACTTGTTTAATAATATGAGATATTGCACTATTACTATTTTGAGATTTATGATTATTTTCTAATGTAGCTTTATTTATTATCAATATCATATCATATTATGTACTTTAGTACTAGCTTTGCTATTATTTATTATATTAATACATAATAAAATTCAGAATAAATATTATTTTTCTGTGATATTATATTTAATATTATGATCACTCTCGATCTCGAGAAAGAAACAGATCATATAATGACAACAGATACTATAATAGTTCTAGATATAATAATAAAAATAGAAGCCAAGAAAGAAGCCGCTCAAGAGATAGAAATAGAAATAAATACAGAGATAACAATAGCAGAAGCTAATCCTAAAGTTGATCTTCTACTCCATACCTTAGAGAAGCTTATGCAGCAGACTTCATTAATTATGATTATGAACAATTTGAATTACATTTCTTTAACAAGTCATTGCAAACTGCTATGGAAACCTATTTTGCTACTTCCTTTTCTAGCACTACTATCTAAACCTTAACTCATACTACTTCTGTTAAATATAATATCAAAATTAAGAATAAACCCTATTAAGCTATTATTGATAGCAGAGCCTTAATTAGTATGATCTCATATCAGATTGTTAAAGAATTAGGACTCAAGATAGAT